TGACCTCAAACTCACAGAGATCCACCTGCCTCAGCCTCCCAAGTGCTGGAATCAAAGGTGTGTGCCACCCCCACCCGGCTAAATTTAAAAAATTTTTAGGGTAAAAGAGATAGATCCATTGTATTCATGGATGAAATTACCAAAGAATAAATTTTTAATTTTTAATTCAAGGGTTAAGAGAGATACATTGCATTCTTGTTTGAGTGAAATTTTTAAAGAATGAAATTTTAAATTTTTTAAAGGTGAGAAAGAGATAAAGGAGGAGAGTCCAGTGTCACCCTCTAGCCGCCACACGTGACTGTATGGGTGAGGCTACCCACCCACACATACATACACACACCCATACATGACACAAATGACTAAATAAAGAAAAATAAACAAGTAGACCAATGAATAAACAAACTGAAAGAGAAGAAGCAAAGATTCTTGAAACTTAAGCCAAGGGAAAGAGCAAGGTAGAGGTCAAAAGGGCAGCAACCAAGAAAAGCTCTCTGGTACCATGGTTTCTTTCATGTTTGTTGGTGATAGCAGATGGCACATAAAACATTCAGAAGCTGAGTGCATCATTGCTTTTGAGAAATTTCTAATTAGCCTGAAAAGGTATTCATGATGGCTCTCAGCCTGCCCTATCTCCCTGCAGATCCCAAGAGAATCTAAACTGTCAGCTGTGACAGTTTAGACCCTCCCTATCTTAAAAAAAAAAAAAAATCAAAAAGAAAGTCCTGCCCTATCCTGGGAACTTCTGGGCATTAAAATGCTCTGTTTTCTGATACCCAGACTGTTTGTGATTCCTAGAAAACATGACAATCCTGGCAAAACTGACTTTGTGCAGGGACCACATTTACTCAAACCTCTATCTACTTCCCTGCCCTCTTTTGCACATACCATCCCATTACCAGGGATTACACTGGACAGGGTTAGGCTCTGATGGTTAAGCACAAGAACAGCATGCAAGCCTCACAAAGCACCAACCATGCAATAGGGAATTGTCTGAAACTTAGGCAGGTGGGTATGATGGTAACTTTATAATATACCAGACAGAAAGCCATGTAATTAATATAGATACCAATCACCATTTTTCTTCTCACCTAACAGCCTGTCTGCAAAATGGATGTTGTCTTGCCTCATGGTGTTCTCTCAGCTTAGCTGGCTATTCTGTCTGTGATGGATACACTTACACTTACCAGCATGCTGCCTTCTTTATTTACCTTAGAGATACTTCAGACCTTGAGCTCTGCTGAGAGAGTAGCAGGCACATGACCCTACAGACTGCAATGGCCTTTGTTCTAAAGGAACCATCATAGCTCACAGACATACATGCAAGCAAAACACTGATACACCTTAATAATAATAATAATGATAATAATAATAATAATAATAATAATAATAATAATAATAATAACAATAATGATAAAATTTGGGGGTGGGAGGAAGACAGGGTTTCTCTGTGTAGCCCTGGCTGTCCTGGAACTCACTCTGTAAACCAGACTGCTCAAACTCAAAGATCTGCCTGCCTTTGCATCTCAGGTGCTGGGGCTAAAGGCATGTGCCACCACTTCTGGCTAAAAATAAATCTTTTAAAAAATTGAAATAAGAAAAGTCATGGTGTTCACAGAGAAAGAATGAATATATTTAAAACCACTCCAGGTGCTGAGGTGCAGCTCTGTCATAGGTCTAGCTCAATTACAATGTGCTAGACCATGGGTTAGATTCTCAATACCACACGTACACACATACAAACCACTCTGTATGTGCTTATGTAGACATGAAATGTAAACCATGTTGGACCTGGTGGCACAGGCCTGTAATCACATCTACTCCCAAGGCCAGGGCAAGAGAATAATGTCTGGGTTACAGAATGAGTTCAGTGCTAGCCTTAGCAACTTAAGGAGATCCTGGCTCAAAATAAAAGTAAGATGGAGATAGAGTGTAGTTCAGGGTAGAGCATCAGTTAGCATATATGAGGACTCAGGCCCAATCTCCAGCACAAAAAAGAAAAGCAAAGAAAAGAAAAAAAGAAAAGAAAAGAAAAAAGAGGGTGCAACCCAGCCACCACTCTGTGTAAAATGTTACACCCAAGCTCCTTCTTGCTGTCCCTCTCAGTGACTGCCACTGCCTTCTGTCATCACTGCAATGCAAACCCTGCTCTGATCTCATGATATGCCCCCCCAAGAGGATGGTTTCTTCGGGACATCAGTGTTTCTGCTTGTTTTCCATCCCATGTGCACTCATTCTTTAATATTGCCCTATGTATACTAAAAGTACCATTCTTGGTTCACATAGCCAAGGAATCCAGGTTCATTGCCCTCTGCCATCTTCCATCCACACCACGTAGTTACCAACTGTGAAAGCTAATTCTGTCAGCTTAACTAGCCATGGGTGCCCAGGCATTTGGTCAAATATTTCTTCTAATCATCTGTAAGAGTGATCAATATGAGTGTTCATATTAGTATACAGATAAAGCAGAGGCCCACCAAGCTGTAGGTGGGCTTAGCCCAGTCTGAATTTAAAAATGCCCTCTGTTTAATTATCTAATCCTGGGATGTTGAGGTTTTTTTTTTTTTTCTAGCTTCCAGATTCAACCATTCAACCAGTAAAACGTTGGCTCTTGGCCCATGGGCCTTCTGGCTTTCAGCTCTCCCACTGTCTCTGCTGGGGCTCCAGCTCACCTACTGCTAATTTTGGAACTCCTCAGTCTTCATAATCATGTGATCTCAACCTTATAATAAATCCCATCTCCCAGTCCTTAGTACAACCTGTTCTGGAGAACCCTAACCAGTATCAGTCCTACGGATGCCTTTCTTCATCAAGGGGAGAACTGGCTCCATTCAGTTGTCCTCTGGTCACTTGTGCAACATTCCTAAGGTGGAAGACTTAAACCCAAAACTTTGCTATGTATTTCTCTCTCTGGCTTATATTGTCCGTGTTTGCATATGTCTTCTCTTCCCTTGTACTTGAGGGTGACAACTGCTACCTCTCTTTATATCCCTCAGAGGTTAATGCAGTGCCTCTATTGTTGAGTAGGTGAATATTATCTCAAGCAAAACAAGACATTTAAAGACTATGAAAGCTTGACAAAATACTACATAATTGGATTTGAAGAAAAATAATATCTAGATGATCAATTTCTGACAAAAATCAGAAGTTACTCCTTCAGTAGCCGTCTACAGTATATGAAAGATGCTTAGGCAGTGTTTCTATTACCTGCAGAGTTTTAAAATAACTCTCATGCCAAATCTCACACCACAACAATCAAATAAGCTCTGGAGTGGTTTGTAGGCAGTCTTGTTTTTTACCTTCCCAAATAATTCTTACAGGCAGAGTTGGAAGTCACAGTCCACAGGCAATGCAGGAGAACTGATTTTGGTTTATGTTTATATGAGGGATGAACTTCAGTTGAAAAAGAGGCTTTGGTGCTGGAGAGATGGGTCAGCTGTTAAGAGCACTGGTTGCTCTTGCTAGAAGACCCAGGTTCAGTTCCCAGCATCCACATGGTGGTTCACAAATGTCTATAGCTCCAGTTCCAGGCAACACATGTACATTCATGGAAACACACATACAGAGAATAAACAAATAAATTTCAGCTTATCTTTGGTTACACAAAGGGAAGACATGTAACTGAAAATTATATCAGTAACTAGTATTTATTGATCACTTACTCATTCCTTTTGACACCTAAAGAAGTAAGCACTGTTACTTGGTGCATTTTGCAAATGTGGGCTAGGAAACTGGGGGAAGCACTTGAATTTACAGAAATGACTAAGTAAGGTAGCTGAGATGAGGAGGAGGCTTCAGAGTGGGTGGTATATTTGGTGCTATAGTGATTTCTGAATGTATGTACCAATGTATGTGTGTGTTGTAGGTGTGCACAGGCATGCACATGTCTGATGCTTTCTTGTTTGGCTGTGCTGGTGACTGAACTCAGGACCTGGCATATGTATTAGGCAAGTTCCATACCACTGTTCTGTGTCCCCAACTCTGGAGCTTTTTCAACTGAGGTAAAACAGATTAGAGGGGTGTGGGATTGGGGCTAGATTAAACAGAAAGCAAAAGACATCCCTGATAGAAGAAAAAGCAGGACCTTGGGGCATGGTAACAGGGTAGGCCAAGGAGAAAACATCAGGAAGGGTCTCTCAGGTGTTAGCATTCAGCATCTGTACTGGCCTGTCCTTGGGGTTCTGACAGGATACCCCCTCAGCTGCAGCCACTAAGAGCACCACCTGTGCGTATTCCTATGTTCCCTATTAAAAGGGCCCTGCCCACCTCCCATCCTTCTCTCTCTCTTTCTCTCCCTCTGTCTCTCTCCCTTCCCCTCTCTTTCCTCTCTCACCCCCTCTTTCCTCTCTCCTGCTGCTCCTGTCTCCAGAGGCTGGTCTCCCCCCTCCCCTTTCCCCTTTTTATGATCTCTTTTCCTAATTAAAAAAATCCCCCTGCTTGAACCCCGTCACATGTCCTCTTCCTCTCACGCACCGCTTTTCTTAAATTACATCAGGAGAGGGTAGAACCCATGGGCTTCACACGGTGGTTTCAGCACGCTGACTTGCCAGTGATCTTCTCCCTTATGCCAATTGCCAGCTTTAGCTAAATTGCGGTAACTCCGAGAAAGGGCCCAATTAGGAAGGTTAGCAAAGGGGTGCTTTCCACACAGTCCTCCCTTAGGCCAAAGTGATGAGCGTTGTTCATCTGGAGTCCCAGAATGACCAGTAGCTGGAAAGTGTGAAGTTAAGAGCTAAGTATCATTGGGAACACGAACTAAGATTAAGGCAGAAAAGAACCTGAGACCAAAAGTACAGGAGTAGTTCGCCTGGTTATAGGGGATTCTGGAACCTACTATCCAGAGACCCTAGTGCTCTGGAAGGTCTTCTACAGCATTCCAGGCCATTGTTAGTGACACATCAATACAAACAGAAGCTAAGAACATGGACTTAAGTAGCCTTCTAGCCCCATCCTCAATTAGGGCCCCATACCTCGCAGGTGATCCTCGGGAAGTCCCACCCTACCTTTGGTTAGGGAGTGAATCCCCAGCTTGACCTGGGAAAAGTTTCCGCTTCCGATCTCTCCTCGAATTCGATAGAAGCCTATGCGTTTCCCCAGCGTGATCTCCCTCACCACCTTCTCATCTTGGCACATGTCCTGAGTCAGTTTCTCGAAGGGCGTCAGTTGGCGTGGCTGGTCCTCCTCACCTTCCTGGCCACACTCGGTCTGACAGCTGCTTTCCACACTGTCCCGCCGGTCCCACCTGTCACAGTGTGTGTTCACCAGGCCGCCTCCATTCGCAAACACTGCAGTCATCGTCCATGCAGGCTCACATTTCCATCTCAGCCCAGAGCCACTGTCAGGGCAGCTTGTAGAACAGGCAGAGGCCTTGTAGGAGGCAGATGTGAGCTGAGGTCTCCCCGGACAGTGTCCATGAGAGCGCTGAGAGCTGAGAGAAACTGCGGAGACCCAGTGATTATAGAGAGCCTGCACAGCCCAGCGGGTCCTCTCAGTGACCAGAGACAGTCTGCACAGCCCAGCGGGTCCTCACTCCAGGCCCTTCCTGCCTTCTCTCACCTCCGGTTTCCAAGCTCACTGTACAGTTACCATAACTCCTCCCGAGGTGGAATCTGATGCTCTGTGGTAGGTGGCTGCGATTGGGGACAAAGACTCCGCTTTATTTACCCGTGTAACCAGGCAGTCTTGAACTCCAGAGTGCAATAGCCCCTTGGAGGCCCCCGAGTCCCTGCAGCGGGTTCTCATCTCTGACCTTCATTTTGTGTTTCTCTTGCTGTCAAATTGCAGGACCCTGGGGACTTAATAATCTGAACTCCAGAAAGGAAATCTTGTAAATCAGCCTTTGGTCACACAGGCAGCCAGAGGATTAAATCCGCACAATGTCACTTTAGCCGGCCTTTATTTAGATGAGCCCTCTTCTAAGCCCTGAGCTGTCCTGAAAATTTGGCAGGTGACAGCTCATCCTAAAGACAGAGAGTGAAAACATTAGCCCATTCTGACATACTGCACAGGAGAACATGAAAATGCCTAGTGAACATCTTTATAAAAGCACTCTACGACTTTATGACTTATATTAATAGTTGATGCTAAATTACATACCGTCTAACAAGAAGAAAAGTCAACATGTATACATGCTCTCAATGCATGTTTTAGGAGACCTTTGCAGTCATGAGCCTCAAGCAAGGGAATTCTATTTCTTCAAGTTTAGGAAAATACATTTATTGTATTAGTTCAATTCAAAAACTAGACTTTTTAAAAATATGAGATAACAATAATGAGTTTATCAGTTTTCAAACTGCCTTACATTTTTGTGAATGTGTTTTTTATCTCCTTTAACACCTTCATATTCCAGTACAGCTTCTTCTTCACTAGTTCTTTCATTCTTTCTGTTTTTCAGTGACAAAGACAACTTTTGTACTTTGGATGGGCTGCTAGTCTCCAGGCCCAGCCCTTTATGTGAGAGACAGAAATGGAGGGCAGTGTGGCCAGTGGTGCAAATGCTGCCCTGGGGACCGCATTCCAGGCTTTGCCTGCGGTCTCTATTCTACTAATTGTCCTAGGCTCACAGAGCCTGTTGAGATGTTCACAAAATAGCACAAAGCATCTTCTTTCTGAATCAATCCCCTTGGCATTTTGATAATTTTCAGAAATGTCACTTCTCCGTGAAGGTAGAAAACATAGCCCGCCCCCACTTCCCCTCCCACAGCCTGGAATGCTGGGCTATGTATGTTGACAGCATTCTCTAATGTGTATTGAACTTGATTTTTTAACTTGAGCATTTTTAACTAAAAATTGGGCAAAAAAGAAAAAAACCCAACAACAATTAAACAACAACAAAAAACCCAACCTAACAGATTGCCTTGGAAATGTAATTTCTGGTCTGCCTGAAGATATTATGTTATTGTTATGTATAGGACTGCCTGTGTTGTTATTAGTGGTTAAGTATAGGGTTGCTATAAGAAAGGGTAGGAGGTTCTTGCCCAATATTCCTCTTATTTCTGGATATGGGGTCATGAAGGTGGAATAAAGTTACAGGGCTATAAGGGGCCTCTTAGCAATAACTAACACAGCTTTAAAGTAGAGTGATTCAGATGTTAAAAACATATAAATAAATAAATAAATAAATAAATATTAAGGCAAAAGCTCCTTTACTGGCTAAGGAAATTTAAGTCACTAATTAGTGATTGTTCTGGGCTTATAGACTCCTTTGAGACACTAACAAAATCCATGACCAGGAAAAAGTACACCATACAATTTGCATCTATGTTAGAGTTCACAGACACTCTGAAATCTATCTCTGGATGTCTTGCTAAGCGACGGTCAAGTGACACTAGATACCGTCAGATTTGCAATACAGAGCTCATGAGAGACAGGAGTAGCATCAACCATAATTCTGAAAGAAACTGTAGCTTAACCTATGCAAAAGAGAAGGGCTTGTGGGGGTGCAGTGAGTCACCTACCATGGAGCAGGTGCTAGGAAGAACTGTTGGTTCAGTGTGCTCTTGCAGCGCCTCCGCACTGGGCTTCGGTTGTCAACAGTCTCTTTTACCACAGCTAAATAAATAAAGAAGGTGTGCTTTGTTTTTTTCTGTGTCCCAGGGCTCTGCACAGTGTCTGTCACTCGTCTGATGAGTTTGTTAAAGAAGAAATGAACTAAATACCAGGTTACCCAATGGTAGATTTTAGTATGGTTTGGTAGAGGTAAATATCTTTTTATTTGTAAACTAATACCACTAGCCCAACATTTACTTTTAATTATCTCAGAACACTTAGTGCAGCACATTTGTTTCAAAGCCTGGGCTACACTGTACCAGCTGTTAGGATTCTCGACACCACCTTCCTGTGTGGATGAAAAGCTTAGCTGCAGTTCTATCATCTGACTGGGAAGTGTTGTAGGACTCCTTCTTTGCAAATGCATCTCCTTGCCCTTGCTCCTTGTAAGAGGTCCACTCTTCCCAAGCCCCCAGGACTCCAGGCACCTGCTTTCCTTGTCTCCCAAACAATTGCTGGGACTTGTCCTCTACTTTCCTGGTTCCCCAATGCTGAGTGTGGGCTCTGCATCTTGAGCTCTACTCAGGCCCTGGGATGACAGTGTTTTAACCTCACTAACCTGAATGGCTTATGGTACCTCCTAGGAACAAGTCCCCCTTCTTGTTCCACATCAGGGAGAGGTCAGATATGATTGCTGACAGTGGTCAAGCTGGATAGTGGTTTATGGGTTGTATACCCTCAAGTTAGATTTCTTGCAACATGGCCTTAAACTGATTCTCTTTTCTGAAAAGCCAAGAAAACGGTTAATCTTCTATTTAAATTAGATCAAGAAGCTTCTACAAATTAATAAGAATTAGGTTTGTATTGAAGATGAGTTGACTCTTGTTGATAATGCCAATAATCCAATTAGGGGGAAATGAACCTGTGTCTACTCCAAAATAAATCACATAAATAAATATAAACAAAAGCTTAAACCATAGGGTTAGGGGGCTATCTCAATGGTTAGAAGGCTGAAGACTGCAGAGCCAAATCATGGTGACTATTTGAGTGTGGAAGAGAGCAAGCTCCAAGCCTATACTTCTCCAGAGAAATCTGGGATGCTTTCTGCCTACCCCTCTCTGCCCAAGTCAGGAAGAACCCTGGGCACAGGGGAGGGTATCAGGTAAAACTTGCCTAAGGAATCCTGTTTCCTTCATCTTCCTGCACTTGCAGTTTCTGGAAAAGAGGAGACTAACCATTTAAACCTTCAGGAAGGACATTCTTTTTGGCTGGACTAGTTCTGGAGGAAAGATCCCCCCCCCCAAAAAAAAAAAAAACCACCCTGCATTTGGAGACTGTGTAATGCAAAAATTCTCTGGCTGATCACTGCACAATTCTTGGGAGCCAGTTCCCCCACACACCCACACACACATAAGAGAGAAAGGGAGACAGACAGAGAGAGACACACACATATAGAGAAACAGAGAAAGACACACAGAGAGAAACACACACAGAGAGAGACAGGGACAGACAACAGAGAGCTAGGAAGAGACAAAGAGAGAGATAGTTTCCTAACCAGTCTCAATTTCTTCCTAGTAGAGTAAATGGCCACCCAAGAGGCAGCAAAGGAAGGGCTCCAAAATGAAAGAAACCATATTCACTCAAACCACCACGACAACCAAAGGCACTTAGAAAAACAGTACAAGAAGGAAGCAGAAAATATTCATAAAACTGAAACAAAACACTAAAAACTAAAAGACCACTCAGACAAGAAAGAGAGCTCATAAGAATTAAATTATTTACTTGAAGAATCTTATTTTTATTAATCTATGAGGGATGAACAGTAGAGAATAAAAGAGAAAGATCTGGTCAATCCATTCAGAAATCCCAACATCTGATTATCAGAATTCCCACTCATGCTGTAATATTCTCAATAATGATAAACATTGAATAAAAATTCAGGTAGTGGTGGCGCACACCTTTATCCTAGCACCCAGGAGGCAGAGGCAGGCAGATCTCTGTGAGTTCAAGGCCAGCCTTGTCTACAGAGAATTCCAGGACAGCCAGGGCTACACAGAGAAATCCTGTCTTGAAAATAATAATAATGACAAACATATATTCCTATTGAACTTGAATTGCCAATAAATTGTGTACTTTTCTAAACAGTCATAATTGAAGAGAAACTCCACATACTCTCACATTCTACTAGAATGAAAATCTGAATAAAAGAACACACAGGAACAGTAAATCTGCATAACTTGTATGTGTCCATGAGAAAATGCAGTCCATTTTGCATTTTATCCCCCCCCCCACGCAGACTTACATTAGACTTCTGTCAATAGAAACCCTGCTTAAGAGTTTAAAGGGCTGCTACCAACAGTACATATTTTGACTGACTTTTAGTAGTATCCTCAGACATCAGGCTGGATCATGTTGAAAATTAAACAAGTAATGGAAGTAAAGATATGCCTAATTTCAGACAAAATCTCCTGTGTTTCAGATACAGATAGTTTCCATTGTTGTTTTTGTCTTTTGCCTCTTTAATTTTGACCATTTTTTTAATGGACCCTAATAAGAACTTAGAAACTCAGTCAGACAAAAATATGGAGTCGTGTCATCATAGATCAAAAGTATCTGGAGGAGGCAGAACAGTCCTTAATTATTAGCTTACTGCTGTAGCACAGCAATGCATTAAATAAGATGAAAGAAAACAGGGCCTACTTGGTAATTTATTTTTGTGACTTGCAACCCACTGTGAAAATGATATCAAAGGAAGCCATCTTGCCTTTGTTCTCTTCGTCTCCCTTTCAAACCTTCTGGGCCAGGCTTTCAGACAATCCCTTTGTCGCTTGGCAGGGCCAGGCTTGCTTAGAGGAAAATCTGGGGTTTTTTCTATATGTGGCAACAAGACTCAGTGATAATAAAGCTGTGGTTGTAATCCTTCTCAGACGCACTACACCCTCACACAGAGATCATTAACAAGCAGTTCATTTGAAATGATTTGCGCCATCTTTACTTTTGGCCTTAGCTCTTATTTCTCAACATCCATGCCAAGAACCTCATGCAGAGCAGCGAAGACATTTGAAGCAAATGCAAAATCATTATGAACTGCTTCTACACAAGTGCAGTGCTGCTACTCTGTAACACAGCTGCTTCCCAACTTGATATCACAGGTTACTCTCCAATTATTCATCCCAGGTCTTCCTGAGTCCACCCACACTCACCATCTATGGCTGGTCCACTCAGTCTATCAGGCCTCCATCAGCTCTCTTCCTATACTGTGTTCTACCACACTAGAGAGTTCCATGGCCATTGAGATCACAGGCTGAAACGTCTGTGGGGGTAGTGCAAGTGTCCTATATGGATGACCCCACACAAGGCCCCTAGTATGCTAAGCTCTGCTCTGCTCCAGCCGGGTAGCCATGCTGGAATGCAAGTTTACATTTGTCAAATCTTGTAATCACCCAAAGAAACTGGAAATGGAGAGTTTTTT